CCCCCCCCCCCCAGAAGAGGACGCCGGCACCGGTGCCCAGCTCATGCCCACAGCGCGCCGCGCAGTCACACACCGAACGGAAAAGGGACCGCACAATAAAGAGCCCCCGGGCCTGTGTGTTCGCCCGGCGGCGGCCAGCGCGGGCATGTTCCCGCACGCGCGAGGTCTTGTGATGGGTGTGCGTGATGGGGCTGCCCGGAGGTGCCCACGGATGGGTGCTATTGGAAGTCTTCCTCCGATTGGAAGAGGCGATCGAGGCGCCAGGCGGCCGTGTCCAGGCGCCATGTCCCGCCGAGGGACCGCGACCGGGCGTCGAGGATGAGCTGCGCCGCCTGGCGGGACCGCTCCCCTCGGGAGCTCACCTCGCGCAGGGCCTTCATTTGTTGCTCGCGCTCGAGCGAGTCCTCCGCCGCGAGGCGGATGAAGCTGGTCCCCCGGATGCGTGCCTCTGGACGGGGGGGCGGGGGGCGGGGGGCGGGGGGGCAGGGGCAGCGTGTGAGACGAGGGGGGGGGGGAGCAAGCAAGGGAGAGGGGCCTGTAGCCGGAGGGGCGGGCGGGCGGGACCGTGCGCACCATCAAACTGGAAGACGCCGGTTGTTTGCAGCCGGGCGTCGGGGCTACCCCGGCCGATGGCAGGATCGACCAGACGAACGCACGTCCGGCCGAACTCGTCCTCATACTCCTCCCAGACCAGGGGCCCGGCCGAGGTGTCGCCTGCGCTGCTGGCCGGGGAATCCCGGCGCCGGGAGGCGCGAAAGTCCACCAGGGACTCCTCCTCCAGGCGGGCCAGCTGCTGGCGTTCCTCGGCCGACAGGTGGTCATCGAGCGGGTCGTCCTCCTCCTCGGAGGAGGAGGAGGGGTGCTCATCGGGGGCGGACGAGCCGGGCCGGTGGTGGGATGATATCCCCCGCGCGGCCAGCATGTCATACAGGGCCGCCTGGCGGACGAGGGCCGCGCGCTTGGCGTGCTCGCGGTCCAGATGCTCCTGGCGGTCGCGCTCGGCGCGTTCGGCCAGGCCGGGATCCGAGCGCCGGTCCAGCAGCCGCCCCTCGGGGCTCGGCGAGCGCGAGCCGGGGCGATCCGTGTCCGAGCGCGGGCGCAAGCGCAGCCGGCCGCCGACCACCTGCTCCGGCGGGTCGAGGTCGGCCGGCGGCCGGTGTCGCCGGAGGTGGGCCAATTCCGCCTGGAACGAGAGCATGGCCGGGTGGCGGTGGGCGCTCGGAGGGGGCGTGTGGCCGGGCATGGCGGCCGGGCAGGGGGGAGGGGGGGGG